AAAAAAAAAAAAAAAAAAAAAAAGCCGCGATCACGATCGGCGGCAGCTCCACCGTGCCGCTTTCTTCTTCGGTGGCAGGTCCTTCCCTCTGAGAGGGACCCGCCGCCGAAGAGCCCGACGTGCCGCCCCTTCCCCTTGGCCACCCCAAGCACCTGCTTGCTGGGCTGGTGCCTGGAGCCAGCCCTGCTGCAGGGCCTTTCCTTGGTCCAGGCCACTGTATGCTGCCTCAAACCCTTACCCACCCCCAGGGCCACTGACAGGCACAGCCTCTCTGAGGTCACTCACAGCCTGTACCTGGCATAGCCTTTGTAAGGTCACTCAGCCCCTTGCACTGCCTGGCCCATGCCCTGCTGCCACAGCCATGGCTAGCCCAGGCACGTGAGCTGCAGCCTAGAAGAGGAAGTTGCCAGCAGGAGGGCTCCTTGTTTGGCTCTTGTTCCTCCCCTTAGACCAAAAGAGCCTGAATTCATTAACTTTTAGGGGGTGCTGTAAAAACCACTCCTCACGAGGGCTGAGGGGGTGGCTGGCTGGGGTGGGGCGACGCTCTCTGTTGCTGGGAATTCCTGGATGGTCCCTTGGAGTTGGTTTAGTTGGGTAGGAGCCTGTGATGCTGTTGGAGGGAGTGTTTTTGTGAAGAGGTGTCAGTGTGCCTAGAGCGGAGGTTTTGGGGTGGGGTGGAGGGTTTTATTTAAATCAAATCTATACATACAGGGCCAGTGGAAGCAGCCTTTGCAGTGTTCAGATCAGCTGCTCATTATTTTCTCTTCTGTGAAATTCCAATAAATATTTCTAAAATAACTGACTTCGATCCTGAGAGACAAGGTGATCCAATGAAAGATATTTCCTGCCCCAACTGCTGTTGGTGCGAGAGACAAGCTTTGGAGCTGCACAGAGCTCTTCTGCAGGTCTGGGAAGGTACTGCCTAACACGCACAAAGAGAACAAAGGAGGCAGGAACAGTTGATGCCACAGCGTGGGTGGAGGGGGGGGAGAGGGCACTGAGAAGGCTGCCGTCTTCTCGCCAGAGTGCTGCCACACACCTGCGGGCATCATTCTGGGCACCAAAGGGCTAACAGGCTACATGACTTAAAGGTACAGGGCCCCACCCTGATCTGCCAGAGCACACGCCTTCCTCGCACTCAGGATCCGTGCCTACATGTGTGGCTGACCCTCCTTCTGCTGCTGCAAGAATCTGTCTCCGATCCAGCAGTGAGCGTCAGAGGGCGCATTGGCATCATCCAGCCTGACCTCCTGTGTAACACAGGCCGTCCAGCCACACTCCTGGACTCCGGCACTGTACCCATGGCTTCTAAGTGAGCTAGAGCATGTCTAGAAAGACAGCCAGTCTCGACTGAAAGATGTCACGCGATGGGAAACTCCCCCATATATTTAGGCAGTTAGTTACTCTCCCTATTTTAAAAAAATGCCTTATTTCTAGTCCGAATTGGTCTAGTTCAGCTTCCAGCCATTGGCTCTCAGTCATCCTTTGTCTGCTCAGTTAAAGAGACTTCTCTGATGAGAGCTCTTCCCCCGGGAGATAGTTCTAAACGCTGATCAGATCCCCCCTTGGCCTTCTTTGGAGGAAGGTGTTCACTGAGAGGAACCAGGCAGGTATCCTGAAGAGATGGCGAGTGCCTTGAAGGCCTCCCAACACTTGCCATCATTTGTGCCACTTCCCCTTTCCTGGGTTGGTGAGAGGGGCTCTCCGTCCATTACTCGGGCTGCTAAGTGGGATTCCAGAGGCACAGGACGAGAATGGCCATCAGTGCCACTGCAGCGGTCAGGACAATAAAGAAGATGGCGGCTGCCCAGAGCCCGCGCTGCTGCCCTTTCACTTGTTCGGGGGCTTCCGCCGGGATCAGGTTGGTGAGGTTCAGCATGTAGCCCAAGGTCCAGCCGATGTCTGTATTCGCAGCCTGGGGAAAGAGCAAGCGAGCACGTTAATGTGCTGGCAAAGTATTTGGAGCCCGGAGCCCCTGCTGCCTCCAGAGCTTGTGGGGGAGAAATTCTTGTGCCTCTCTCTGCAGGTTCTGGTCCCTGAGACCAATACAGTTTGGCCTGGTTAGCTGGAGCTTGGCTTCTCTGAAGCCATGTGCATCAAAGATGTATCCCCATGCAGGAGTGCCGTTACCATGGTTCTGCCCGAGGTCACTGTGCTATGCAAATGCAGCCAGCAGGAGCCAGCACACCAGGAGCCTGGCATCCCCTTCTGATGCCCCCAGCTCCTACAGGAGCAGTAGAAGTGGTGCTCCTCCAGGGGTGAAAGTAACTTAAAGGACTTACCGGTACACCGGAGTCCTGCACAGGGGGTGTGGCCTCAACCAGAAGAGGTGTGGCCTCAACCAGAAGAAATGGGGCCTTTAAATACCAGGGCTCTTTAAATCAAGATTTAAAGGCCCAGGGGCTCCGGCTGCGGCTGGGAGCCCCAGGGCCTTTAAATCACCCCTGGAGCTACCAGCTGCAGAGGCGGCTGGGAGCCCTGGGGCTCCGGCAGTGATTTAAAGGGCCAGGGGCTCTGGCCACTGCGGGTAGCCCCAGGCCCTTTAAAGCACCGCCTGAGCCCCGCTGCCGGAGCCCCAGGGTAGCAGCAGCAGGGCTCCGGCAGTGATTTAAAGGGCCCGGGGCTCCCTGCCCTTTAAATCACCACTGGAGCCCTGCCACCCCTACCCCAGGGCTCTGGCAGCGGGGCTTGGGAGACAAAGGGCCCGGGGCTCCGGCCGCTGCAGGGAGCCCCGGGCCCTTTAAATCACCAGCCTGGGGAAGCCGGTCCGGTCCGGCACAGCGTACTGGCTCTTGCCGGTACGCCGTACCGGACCAGGCCGGCTTACTTTCACCTCAATGCTCCTCTCACAGGGCCGATTCAGCCCTACACAGACATTCATTGCTAGTGTCCCCCAATGCAGCTCTCCCAGCGTCCCTCCTGCTGCCCCATTCTTGGATTCTGTACCCCAAACTGGCCATTAAAGGCCAGCCCTCATTAGCATTGTGGCCCAGGGCCTTTGGGGTCACAAGCAGTGACACTTCTTTGGGACTGGAGCCATTGCAACGATTCAGAAGCAGACCTTGCCCCTGCAGTGACACCTCTGATGGATGATTTAGTTTTATTTTCTCCTTACAAATCTGCCATCATTCTCCACACTTCCATCCCCCGCACAATGTCCCTGTGACCTCTGGACTACCTCAGCCAGCTGTGACAGAAGCCTGCTGTGAAAGCTATCTGACTCCACTGAAGTCAATGAGGTTCATTTGGATTTATGCCAGTGTAAAGGAAAAAAGAATTTGGCCCTGTGGTCTCTAGGGAACGTGTGGTGAAGCCATGTGGCCACTAGTGCAGAACTTTCCATGACAGCACACCATAGCCTGCTACCACCGAAGATCTGCTCTTCCTCTCACAGCCAGGAGGAAGGATGTAGCTGGAATCAAGCCTCTTCAGGGCTCAGTCCTGCTAAGTGCAGCCACCTCTGGTGTGATGCTGAGTGCCCTTGATTCCCAGGCAAACCAGTCAGAGTCGAGGGCACTCAGAACTCAGCAGGTCAGATTCTTAGTTACCAGGTGCAGGTGAATAGCCATTTGCATTAGTGGGCAGGGCCGGCCCACAACATTTTGGCACCTGAGGCGGGATGAAAGGTCTCAATTCTGCCTTCTTCCTGTTCTACTCCGCTCATGGTACTGCTCTGCTACCTACCCCAATAAAGGAGAACTAACAACTTAAAATGCCTTGTTCAAAAATTTTAAGTAACACTTAACTTTCAAACACCTGAACAGCAAATGTAACTTCTTGTCTGCATAGTAAACACTGGCATTTTTATCTGTTTGAATAATCAAAGTGGTGCTTTCTGTGCCTTCTTGGTTGCAAAGATTTGAACTGCTTCCTGAAGGTCCACAGTCTGGGCCAGCTCATGCTCTATTGAGATGGTTGCAAGGCCGACCAGCCTCTCCTGTGTCATTGTGGAGCATAGATGTGTTTTTATTAACTTCAGCTTGGAGAAGCTGCGTTCTCCACTGGCAACTGTTACAGGAAGTGTTAGAAGTATGTGCAGAGCAACAAAAGCATTTGAAAAGAGGGTGGTCATCTTATTTGTGCACATATATTCCAGAACAGCCTTTGGAGTTGATCCTGCTGAAATGTATCTTGAAAGGGCTTTCAGTTCATCACCTAAATCACTCGCATCAATATCGTGCATGTCATCATGTGTCAACACTGTCTCTAGTGCCCTGCATTGCTGGTGTAGGTCTTCTTCAGGTCTAGTGAGGAGTTTTTGAATATCATACAACATCCCAAGTATACTGCTGTGTTCCTTGAGCTGCATGAAACGTTCTTCAACTGACTGTATTGCACAATCTAGCACCTGGTTAAAGAATTCAACTTTGAATTGTTGTTTGGGGTCTCTTATGGGATTATCCCATGCCTCGTAATCAAAATGTCTTCTTCTTCGGTGACTCTTGTATTCTTGATTGGGTGGGAAAATAGCTTCAGTGTGAAGTTCCTCTGCCAATTTCTGTGCACTCTTCAGAACGTTTTGAAATCCCTCATCTGACTGGTAAGACTGTAGGTATGACTTTGCTTTGTCCAGTTGTTCCATTGCTCCAGATATATCAAGGTCAACACCTTGGAGTCTCCTGCTTACAACATTTATTTCAAACAGTATGTCATGCCACAACACTAAGCGACACAGAAATTTGAAGTTATGTATGTTTCTGGTGATTCCATTTCCCTCTGCCACTGTTCTCCCACGAACAGTTCCTGTCATAGCATTATCCTCCATAATGGCAACTGTGGCATCATCTATCTTCCCAATTTGGTGTTTGATAGGCTTTATCACCTCCACTCGACTTTCCCATCGTGTGGCATTCAGTGGTTTCAGTGTCAGAGAGGATGTTCCCAGATGTTGCTTCAAAATTTGCCATTGATGAGTTGATGCAGAGATTAGAAAAATACATAGATGCTTTGAATTACATTAAACAATTCAGCAGCCTCACTAGAAGCTGATGCTGCATCACTGACCACCAATGAATGAGAACTGCATGGGACAAAAAAAGGTCGAGGGTTTAACTCTCGGATCCGTGTCTGCACTCCTCTGTTCTTTCCTCTCATGTTAGCACCATTATCGTAGCCCTGTCAGCTATCACAATTCCTGTATCTTCCAGCTTTTTAAGAAGCACATTTGTCATACCAAGTGTGCTGTAGTATCATCAATGTCAATAAATTCTAGAAAATGCTCTCTGACAGTCACCATTGCAGGGACATTTTCACTAGGTTCTGTTGTTGTTACAAAATGCACCATTAAAGTCATTTGTTCCGTATGGCTGATGTCAGGTGTGTAGTCCAGAATAACAGAATACTATCTTGCTGACTTCAGATCTGCCACAATCTTCTGTTTGACTTTTGTTGCCAGTAACTGTATGATCTCATTTTGAATTGTTTTTCCAAGGTAGCAGTGTGTGTACATTTCTTGGGTGGTGACTCTTCTTAGATGCTCCTAGAGTACAGCATCAAACTCAGCCATCAGCTCCACAATTGTAAGGAAGTTTCCATTGTTTGGCACATACAGCTGATCTGAAGTGCCCGCTGGGGAGCCCAGAGCCCTTTGAATCCCGCCCGCAGCTCCGGCGGCCGGGCTGGGGCCAGGATTTAAAGGGCTCAGAGCTCCCGCGGCTGTGGGGAGCCAGAGCCCTTTAAAGCCCCCCCCCGCAGCTCTGGCTGCCAGAGCTCTTCCGGATGAGGCCATGCCCCCTCAGGACTCCGGCAGTACCGGTAAGTCCTGTAAGTTACTTTTACCCCTGCACGCAGTACAAGGAAGTCCCTCAGGCTACTGCTCAAGTCAGTCCACAGTCCTGGGTCATCTAGACTTAAGGAACTAAACTCAGCAGCAGCTGTTTCTTGCGCCTCCACCACACTCTTCTCTGATCTACACTTTTCTTCAGGAATGTGCCTGGTTACATGCATTTGAGATGGAGATATGGATGCTGCAGTAGCTGCCAGGTCACCTGCACTCTGACTAACTGGAAGATCAGGCATCTCCTCACCACTCACATCCTCACTGGGGCCGGAAGGCTCACCGTGAACATTTGTGTCTATGTATCTCAGGAGAGCTCCTTCCTGCTTAGATAGAAAAGCTTCCTTTGCTTTCTTTCTTTTTCTGAATGCTGCCCCAGAGGGGCGTTTTCTTCTTTCACTCATGACTGCTGTTCTGCACCAGCTATAGTGGCTCTCAACACTCAGTTGAAGGGGACAAATAAGCAGGCTGGTAGCAGGGCCTGAGTGAGGGAAGATATCAGCATCTTAAGGGCCTAACTGGCTCCTACTACTTCAGTTGACTGCCTGTTCTCCTCAAGTGGGTACAGGGAAGCAGCAGGAACCAGGAAGCTCCCTGAGAAGCTGGTGTGAATCAGTCCAGCCTCCTGGAGGTGCTGGAGAGGTACATAAGAGGCTCCTCCTCCTCTCTCTCCCTGCAGCTCCTGCTGCTTTCTGTTATTCCCTCTCACCTTTTCTCCTGCCTGCCTGTTATGTCTCTTGTGCCCTCCTTCCTCCAGCACAGCCCTCCACCATCTCTGTGCATCTAGAGCAGAGAGAATACATATGCACCAGCAGCAGACACAATTTTCTACACTCTGGGTCCTAGCGGTGCCCCCCCCCACAGTCTGGCACCTGAGGCGACCGCCTCAGTTCGCCTCATGGTAAGGCCAGCCCTGTTAATGGGCACAATTCTCACACTGTGTAGTGATCACTGTGGCCAAGGTTGGAGACAGCGACCCTGGGAGGAGTGGCAGTCGCTGCCAGCTGGCTGCACAAGCCGGACCGACAATGGCTCTTTACCTTTTGGCGGAAATGGATGTTGCTCCACATTTGCTCGTCAAATTTGTAGCCCTGGTGTAGCAGTGTCAGGATGTAAAAGGCCGAGGGGCAGTAATTGTGTAGGCGCCTGTGACTCTCCTCCTGTGGGAAGCTGGCCTGCAGCTGGGAGAGCCATTGGGACAGACAATGCAGATAGCAGTTAGCAAGGGCCCTGCAAAAAGCCCAGCTTCTCCAGTGGTGGAACAAAGGGGAACAAGCAGGATACAGTTCTATGAAACAGCCAAAGTGTCTGTCTCCATTGCTTTCTACTGGTGCAGAAACCACAGCTGGGGCAGGAAGCCCAGACCCAAGAACCTTTTTAGCAGTGTGCTGGGACTTGGCCAGTAGTTTTACACTGAAGCTGAGATCCAAAGGGCCTGACACTTTTTGCAGTTCAGATCTGAGAGCCCTGCACGGCTCCTTCCCCTCCCACTTCCTAACCTATCAGTCCCTGCACACTGCTAGGACAAGCCTTTCTGCCAGAATGTGAGGAGTGTGATTCCCACCTGCTAATGGGCCTTCAGAGCTCCTCTGCTTTGAGGCTTGTCAGGCAACTCTGGGGCTTCCCAGGATAATAGGCAATCACCTGCTGAGCTCTCGGCTGCTACCAACAAGAATCTCACCTCCTTCCAGCCTTTAGTGCAGAAGCCCCAGATGGTGGCATTGACGGCACTCAGGGGCTGTCCGTTAGTCAGGTTCAGAAAATAGAATGTGTAGTAAAATCCAGAAAAGGCCTGTGCAAGAAGAGGAGAGATTAAACCGGTCTCCTTTCAGAAGACACTGCAGAGGAGCATAACAACAATAATTAGCTTTCCCTTCTGGAGAACTCTTCATCCAAGGAGAACCCCAAAGTGCTTCACGGCAGTGATGAATTTCTCCTCACTCCCCGTCTGAGGCAGGCCAGCATTATTAGCACCATTTCACAAATGAGGAAATTGAAGCACAGTGAGGTGAAGTGACTTGGCCTAGGTGACAATGATAGTCAACAGCGGAACCAAGAGTAGATCTCAGGACTGGGCACTAGAGACCTGAACCAATGCTTACAGTAGTCAATGGAAAGTCTCCCAGCAATGTCATTGTGGTCTCAACTGGCATCAGTATGTAATCTACAGTACCACATGTTAAGATGCATACAAATTCTGTGTTTGTAGGTGCAAAGCAAAGTTAATGCTTTTGCAGTCTGGGCATGGTTAAGGTGAAGGGCTATATCACAGCTGAATTATTTTTGCATTTGTGAATGTAGTCTGAGATCGACAGTGCAAAAGACTGAAATTCTTTTGTAGCCATAGAGTGGATACAGCCTGGGCAGCCAACATTGAAACTTTCCTCCTCCTACCCATGCCAGTGTGCCCGAGCTGCATCTTGGGCTAAACTATACCATCAAATTGCCTGAGTGGGGTTTTTTTTTTTTAATACATTTAAATTCTCACAATTTGATTTACAGCCAGAGCTGGCCTAAAAACAGAGGGGCTGAGGTGTGGATTTCAGGGAAGATTGCAAGATTTTGTTTCAAATAAGTTAATAGACTTTAATATCTATTCCCTGACCAGGTCTAAGCACAAAGTGGCAATAATCCTCTTTGCTTAGCATGGAATTTCCTTTGTCTTTGTTTCTGTTGTTGTTTACTTGGAAATAGAAAACTAACAGAATTGTGACTGAATACACACGGAAACGAAAAATGCTCCCACACCATACTCCAGAGTGTGATGGGCGCTATGGAGATGCAGTGACAAGAACGAACCCAATAACAATTACATGTGTATTCAAATCCATGCGCAGAGCGCCTCTGGAGGCCCTTATGATCACACATGGAGATGTGATACAACATGGTAAGCTTCAAACATGCATGTGCAGATTGGCCTTGGCTCTAGCACAAAATTGGGGCAGCTGCACGTGTCCTGTACTAAGGGCTGCTTTGAAAGTGCCCCTCATTCCTTGGCTGTGGTTGGCAGTGCATAGCCCCCGTAAGTCATGCTAATGGCACAACTCCCTTGGGGCCCTTCAGTGGCAGGAGTGTTTCCCAGGGCAGACAGATCACAGAAGTGACCCCCGGGAGGATTCTGCTGGAAGGCAGCGTTATTACATTAACAGCCATGAATGGCACACAGAGCTGGGATGGGGCAAGTTTGTTTCACTCTGCCCGTGACCCATCTTCCCCTCTGGGGAAGAACAGTCCTGGCACATAGGCCCAGCAGATTTTCAAACATCTCCTCCATAGCATCATGGTTCCTAATAGCGATCTTGGCATTTATCCCAGGTCAAGTTTAGCTGGGGGTTATGCGCACACAGTGATACAGCCTCCCTCCAGTTTAGCTGTTGCCTTCTCTATCTCCACAGTCCTGTTCATAGGATCATAGAATATCAGGGTTGGAAGGGACCTCAGGAATCATCTAGTCCAACCCCCTGCTCAAAGGGGGACCAATCCCAGACAGATTTTTGCCCCAGATCCCTAAGTGGCCCCCTCAAGGATTGAACTCACAACCCTGGGTTTAGCAGGCCAATGCTCAAACCACTGAGCTAGCCCTCCCCCCCGTTGTGACCAGGCATTAGAGTGTGACTCCCATCAGTGTGGTAGCCAGCTAGAAGAGAAGGGAAGGCTCCCTTACGAAGAACTGCCCATGCTCTGGTGGCTGGTAGACCCCGTTGAACCCGCACGTCCTGTTGGCCCCACAGGCTGTGAAGTTGAAGAGTTTCTGGACGGCATTCCTGCACTCCGCTGGGGCTCCTGTCCCCCGCACCGTGAGGATCTGCCTGGGGTCGTGTGCAGCTGGTGCCGGGACGCAGGGACTGTCATACAGGGCAGCGGCAGTGACGTTCTCCTCATATCCCCTAGGGTAGCACGGGTGGGAGATCTGCTGAGAGGTGAGGTTCTCCTAGAGAGAGAGGAACCCATTAGCAGCGCTCAGGCTAGGGATAGCAGCCAAACCCGTCCCCTCCCCACCTCTCCCCCATCCCCTCCAGCTTGGCGCTTCTGAAAGAGTGGCAGCTAAACCCTTATAGGAAAGTCCTATAGGATTTAGAAGAAAACAAGAACTGTCCTATGGGTTTTCTTATCCATCCCATTGTATTTGAGACTGCAAACCCTATCCTGGTATAGAATGCTATAGGGTGGGTCACAAAGCCCATGCAAACCCCACTCTGGGTATCTGACCATCTCCCCAACTAGTGTCAGGCCAGGCCCTGCCTGGCCTCAGAGATGACACACACATGATGGCGAGGAAGTCAATGCCCCTTCGGCACCTCACCCTACTCTGCTTTTGTCACATGCTCCTCCCGGAGCTCTGCAGCCCCAACCCACCCAGGCCAAACTGAGGGTTGGCCTTCATCTCCACTCCCCAATCCTCCTCCTGGTTTGTCCATCCCCAGCACATCCAAGGTCATGCCTCTTTGGGAGCCAACCTCACAGCTGTCTGTGAGACGTCAGGACCCAAATCCCAGGGTCTTGACCCTGCACAGCTTCACATGGAACACAAGAGGGAGGGCTCAGGGCTGTCGTACTTCAGTACAAACGGGTATGAGTGAACTCAAGCCAGCTACCTCTAGCTGTCGCCTGTGCATTGAGCAGTGCTCAGTTACCTCCTTGCACACCAGCTCCCTTATGCAAGGTAAGAAGATTGAACCGAAGCACCAGCCTCATCCTGAGGCCCTGCCTGGCAGACCTCCCCCTTAGGCCTCACTCAGCCCAGCACCAGGACTGGGCTCCCCTGCTTGCCACTTCTTGTGTGGCTGTCTCTGCACAGCCCTTCTCAAGTGCCCTGCGCAGGACACAGCCCTGGGTGTCAGAGCAGCCTGGCGGAGCACGGGACAGTCTCTCTGGTACCAGAGCACTGCCCAGGTTGGGGAGTTTCAAAGGAAGATGTACAGTAACATCCATGGCTTCTCGCTACTTCCACCTGAAACACGTGGGTGGTGCCAGGCTGTCAGGGGAAGGACTTCAGGAGTAGAAAGGTGACACATGGTGGGCTGCCGTCCTCCAGAGTACAGGTGGAAAATCCACCACCACATTGCCGCAGCGTATACAGCGCCCCCATTGCTGGCTGCATGGTGCAGCTATTGTGGCATGCCAAGGGTTAATACAAATCCCAAGGCAGAGAGAGAACTGTTGTGTAGCTGACTGGGCTATAGGATCCGCCCCATTGATCTCCCTGGGTGCTGCTGCAGATTGTTAGCACAGTGTCAAGTCCAAGGACTAGCCAGCAAGAGGGGTGGGGGGAAGCTGGAGTAATAAATCACGTAACTATGAGTCACACCCTCATCGGTGATTTCTGGGAGTTTCCAGGGCTTAGGAGAAAGAAGGGAAACCATCTCTCGCTTCAACAGGGAAACCCTGCCTCACTGGGGCTTTTCTCTAGTACTTGCTCAGTTTCTCAGATAAAGTCTTTATTTTGTCTGCTCTATGCACTAAAGAAAAGCAGTTGGCAAAGAGTCCCTGTCCACCCAACTTGACAATCTTCTGATGTTCTCAAGGATTTTCACACTCTTCTCTGGCAGGTCAGAGCCATTTATAATTTGGTTACCCATTTGTTGATGTACACAGGGTCTGCATGAAGAAGACTTCATGAACCAACCTTGTTTGCACAGACACACCCACTCTCCCTAGGCACACAACAGGCTGGGACTGCTTTGCCCAAATGATCACTTTGGGCTGGTGTTGGATCACAAGTCACTTTGTTATTGGAGGCAGGGGTAATAAAGGGTTGTTCATGGGCGGCAGGTATCAAAGGCAGGGGAAGGCTCAGCCTAGCCAAACTGCCTGCATGGCCCCAACCACACTCCACCCCCAGGACCCCTCCTGTTTCCCCGTCATTCTCTGCTGTGGGGCCCGGGCCAGTGGCACCGGAACCAGGGGGGTCAGGGGGCCATAGCCCTCCCACTGTCGTCTGGCCCATCCCCTTCCCCTCCTCTTCCCCCCGAGGCCCCACCTCCCAGCTAGGCCAGCGTGGAGCCCGGCTGGGGAGCCAGGGCAGCTCTGGGGAGCCGCGGCAGACCCTCCACCTGCCCGTGTCCCTGGCTGCCTGGGGCGGGGGTGGGGGGGTGTCCGCGACTCCACGCCGGCTCCCTCAGCTACCCATGTGGCTCTCCCCGACCTGGCTCCGGCCAGGGGGGTGGGGCTAGGGTGTCCAGATGTCCCGATTTTATAGGGACAGTCCCGATTTTTGGGTCTTTTTCTTATATAGGCTCCTATTGCCCCCCACCCCCGTCCTGATTTTTCACATTTGCTGTCTGGTCACCCTAGGTGGGGCCTTGGAGCTGCAGCCCAGCCATGATAAGAGCCATGTGGGCATCTGTGAGGAGATGTGGAGTCATGGACCCTCCTCCGTCCCCGGGTGGGCGGGGAGCCTTGGGGGCGGGGACATGGGCTGGGGACTGCTCCAGCCCCCCCACCACAGGCAGGCAGAGGGTCCACTGCGGCTCCCCGCAGCAGCCTGCCCAACCCTTATCATGGCCAGGCTGTGGCTCCAAGCCCCCCCCCTTGCCTCCTCCAGCCGGAGCCGGGTTGGGGAGAGCTGTGAGGGCAGCTGAGGAGAGCCTGGGCTCCTCCACCTGCCCTGGGTGTGGAGCCTGGGACAAGGGCAGGGGGCTGCCTGCCTTCGCCTCCACCTCGGGCAGGGGCCCTTGCCCCCGCCCCCCACACTTTTGGGAAGGCTCCGGTGCCCTGGCCCCGGGCTGGGGCTAGTGGGGGCTGGCCTGCAGCCAGGGACTCTGGGTGGCTGGAGCTGGTGCTTGCACCACCCGCCCACCCAGGGATGGGGGCCATGCTGCCCGCCCTCCCGGCGCTCCGGGGGAGGGGCGCTGCCCACCTGCTGCGCTGGGGACCGCGATCAGCTGCCTGCCTGCTGCTCTGGGGCTCGGGCTGGGGGCAATGCTGCCTGCCCGCCCACCAGGGCTCCAGCAGGGGAAGAGGGGTGGGATGGATGGGGCCCCAGGCAGAAGGAGCAGGCCGGCCGGGGACTAGCCTCCCCAAGCCCGTGGTTCACCTACCACCCATGGGGTTGTTATCCTTGTTGTATGAATCAAGGGGGGGGGCAGAACTGTGCTTGGCATGCCCCAATTGAGGGGTGTACCCTCAACTAAATTGCATTCGCTAGGCAAGGGTGCCAAAACCCAGGGGAGTTGAAAGAGGGTGGGGACAAGTGTCTGGTGGTGTAGGTGCTGTCTAAGAGTCTCAGACACCATTTGGTTTTTCCTCTCTCTGGTGTAATAACAGACCTTATTAAGATACAACTGAGAGTCTTGCTGCAGACCAACAGAGCTGAAGTCACTAATAACCAGGTCTAAGGATTATACCTGCTTTGGGACAATGTCTCTGATGCAAGTGACTGCCCAGTCTGCACTAGCAATGAGGCCCCCCCTCACCCCCCCACTAACAGCTGAAAACACTGAGAGCTGTATTAAGTGGTCATAGAATCATAGAGTATCAGGGTTGGAAGGGACCTCAGGAGGTATCTAGTCCAACCCCCTGCACAAAGCAGGACCAATCCCCAACTAAATCATCCCAGCCAGGGCTTTGTCAAGCCGGGCCTTAAAAACCTGTAGTCGCCTTCAAGACATCCCAGAGGGTGCAGATTCAGGTGGTGGTGGGTGACCAGCGGAGTGGCTGATGCCAGAATGAGTGCCTGGACAGTGGAGAGAGCAAGGGGCCTTCCCCCCTCCTCCCCACCAGCGTGGGAAGTGAATGCACACAGATGCACCTCTGAACTCTGGATCTTCACTGACCAAGGACAACAACAGTGAGTGGGGTGTGGTGGAGGGAGAAGGGAACTCCCTGACTGGATGACAAACTTGAAAACAGGTAAGAAAATGTGACTCACAAACACTGTGTCTGGCATAAATTCCAGACAAATAATTGTTGAGGCTAAAGTTTGAGAAGCTGCTGGACATTTTCATGGATAAGCTGGTGGGCCAAGGAATAAAGTGAGCCACAAATAACAGCAGGGCAAGGCCACTACATGTTAGTCACCTATTGTCTGATTCATCCAGATTCAGTACATGCCAGCCTGCAACTTTTTAAACATTTAATGGAGGGTTCTGCACTCTTCTGCTCTTGTCCCTGCCCTGCGCCTGTTGTGCGGCCGGCATGCATTTATCATTGCATTGGAAGCAGTGCAGCAGGTGTGTGCTGCGGGGACACAGCTGCTGTAGTTAGCCACATGGCATGTGTGTGTCACTCTGCCCTATCCAGACAGTTGAGCAGCAGAGCAGGGGCATTTCACAGGGGCACCTGGAGGTTTGGCAGTTGTCAAGTGTGCACCTCCCTTGGAGACTTCTGGCACTTCAGCTATTCTCTGCTACCAATCATGGTTCAGCTGACTTACTGCCCGGAAGCAGGAAGCAAGGTGTCACATGGGCCTGCCTGGAGAAGGACTCCTCTGGGGTAGAGAAGAGACTGGGGATCAATTTTTGTCCTGTGAAAAATTTCAGTGAAAATGAATATTTTTCAGATTTGAATGAAAAAAACCCACATTCCCCAAACTGATGTTTTTTTTCAGTTTGTAGCAGCTAAAAAGTGAGGGGGGAAATCAGTTTTCGTGTTTTTTTAAAGGAAAGCCTCCAATTTTCTGACAAAAAACTATTTTTTTCACTTATGTTCCATTTGATCAAAAAGACATTTTTCATCCAAATTTCTTTTTGATTGAAAATTGTTGAGCAGGTCTGTCGGGGTTGACTATAAGATAGTGACCTACAGAAAGTGAAGGGGAAAATGCTAGTGCCTCGTACTATAATTATTTATACCTTCCTTAGGGCTACCAGCAGCATCTTCAAGGCCTGGTCTCGCCCGTAGCAGAGGTAGCTGTGGGTATAAATGGAGTAGTTGGTCCCATACAGCCGGAAGAAGACTTCAGTGCTGTTGTCCTCAATGGTACCACTGGGCTGGAAGGTTATTTGGGTTGAGGCTCCTCCAAGATCCAGAGCTCCCAGAACCTCAGCTGACTGAGGCCGTCTCCATTTCCCTGCAAAGGAGAACTGCCCCCACCAAACACTAAGGATTAATTCAGGCTGAAGAAAATCCAAGTTATAATCACTTACTAAAGATTTTGCATGTAAAGTAAACTTTGCGATGGCCTCCTGGATTCCCATGTCCCTATCTAGCCATACCTTCAGTGGCAGGGCATTGATCTCAATGCCCAGCCAAGGTACACAGGGCTAGATCCACAGCTGCAGGCCAGCTCCTCTTGCTGTACATCAGCCTAGATCCACTGACTGCAAAGAGCTAAAATGATTTACGCCAGCTGAAAATCTGGCTATATGAAAGCACCTTCATAGGCCTCTTTGCGTGGTTTCTTTGTAGGTGATAGCAGCAGCAAAGGCACCCTATAGGAGCAGAAATATTATGTTCCAAAATCTGTAAGGTTCCAAAACTGACTGAGAGGAAAAGCACCTCTGGGTTTTAAGTTGAAAAGGAAAACAAATTGCATGAGTTTGTTACAAACGTCAACACAGATGTTAGGCCTGGTCTACACTACGGGATTAATTCGGATTTAGCAGCGTTAATCCGAATTAACCCTTCACCCGTCCACACTACAGAGCCAGTTAATTCGAATTAAAGGGCCCTTTAAATCGATTTCTGTACTCCACCTCGACGAACGGAGTAGAGCCTAAATCGATTTTGTTAATTCGAATTAGGGTTAGTGTGGCCGCACACCACCGAATTACTGTGTTTAAGTTAATGGGGTAGTGTGGCCGCACACCACCAAATTAATGTGGTTAAAAACCGAATTAAGGTGCTTAGTGTGGCTGCGCACAATCGAATTTATACAACCTGTTTCCCAAATTCGAATTATCTAAATTCGGATTAATCCTGTAGTGTAGACATACCCTGAGCTGAATTCACTTTGGGCCAATGGTGCACCAGCACTGGGGCTCCCCTACTATACTATGAGCTGAAATCACAAAAGAGCTGAAATCACAAAAGAGCTGATGTTATTAAGAGCTGAGATCACTGAGGCTATGTTAACTAGTGGGGGAGCCTGAAGCTATATTGCTCAGCAGCTGGCGGAGCAATTTGTGGGGATGACTGGAGGAGTGCGGGACTGGTTGGAGTGGCCCAAGGAACGGCGAGCGGAGCTGTTTGCGGGGACGGCTGGAATGGCTCACAGGTTGGTGAGCGGAGCGGAGCGGAGCAGCTTGTAGAGCGGAGCAGTTCGTGGGATGGCAGGAAAGTGGACTGGCTTGTGGTGAAGGCTGCGGCGGAACCCCCACGGAGAAACAGCCCACGTAAGGTGCCCCTTAACA